CTCATTTCTGCACTTACAGCCTCTCAGTGTTTGACTGCTGTTTGTGCTGATGTGCTGGGTTTGGTTTGCTTCAAACGTTGCTCTGTGCGTTACGGCCAGACATCTCCACTGTGGTCTCGGTTGTCCAAAAGGTCACTGCTCCATGAGTCTTCAGCTGCATTTAAATGCAATTTGGCAAAACAAAGTCTCGCTGCTACTATTTTTTTCAAGAAGAGGCAACTCATGCAAACAATGTCAGACTTGTTCAGCCTTTTTTTTAACTGTACTGTCATAAACTCTAAGATTGAACTTTCCTACTGCGGTCTGGAGTCAGTAGCTTTAGGGTTACTTTATAATTTTTCTGATCATTGCACAGGCTGACCTCAAGATGGTCTTCTTAGGATGTATATTTCACAGAAAACTGGCAACTATCTTCAGTGTTTATTCACTTGGAAAAAATTTTGTTCTCGGCAGAAATAGGAACTTTTAATAGTTGGGCTTACAAAGCTTGTGAGCAGCAACRGCAGCTTCAGCATCATTCCTGATTTCTTTCCATCAGCCAGCTAATCAAGTGCATTTGGCCAGCAGCACCTGCAACTACTTARCCTCCAAATCCTTATAAAGATTTATTTAGTTTCCCCAGAATCTGCTACTGTGTTTCTTTTAATTAATATTTACCCAGTATAAAGTGTTATTGGCGGTGGGAAATAATGTTTTTGCCATGTGTGCTTGTGTTAGTTTAATGTCTCATGAGCCAGTGAGCAAATTTTATTGAAAATATTAGAAATTAACCAGTGAATGGACCTCTACAACTCAGTCAGTTTTGAAGTCAACCCAGTAAAAGATGGCTGCCACAGGAAGTCCCTTCACAAATGCAAAAATGGCCATAACTCAGTCAGTTTTACAGATTGGGGAAATAAGTTCAAAATATCAAGTAGAAAATGGTACTCCCCAAGGCAGTATTATAAGTCCTATGCTATTTAATATTATGATTAATGATATTTTTAGTATTATAGATAAATCTTTTGGTGTTTCATTGGGCCTCATGCAAGAACCGTTCGTACGCACAGATTTGTTCTTAAGTTGTGCGTACGAGTGATTTAGG